CCGAATTCCCACAAGAGAACACTCTGCAATCAAACGCTAACCAATTTGCAGATCTTCCGGGCTTTTCTTTTGTGGCTTTGGTGGCTTTTGGTGGCTTTTGGTGGCTTTTGGTGGCTTTTGGTGGCTTTTGGTGGCTTTGGCTGTCCACATCCTCAGCATCACCAGCACCCCCGCAACATCAGAAGCAGCGCCTTGTTTAAAATCTCGCGCTTTCTCCATTAGCGTCCCATATGTTCTCTGTTAGGTGTAATGGTCCGGGGTTCCCATCAAATATATTGGTCAAATTTGTGCCATCATTTACTATAGTAACGGGCATGACATTGGGGCATCAGCCGAAATTAACTATAAAACATTGTTGGGGCCAGTATTTTGAGAAGCCTCACTTTGGATGGCCTGAGCGTCCAACAAGGTGGTTCCCTTTCGGACGCAAAAAAATCGGTTCTGCTGGACCTTCGGCTTCCGAACTTCCGGTCCTCGTCGATGGGCCAAAAGCAAAGGTAGGCCGAGATAAAGCCCTCCAAAGCGTTCCAGGAGCCCTCGGACAATGGCGCGAGGGTCAAAACCCTAAGCGGTTATCCCCCAGTGAATGGGACCCAATCCAACCACTAAAATAGGTTCTAAAATGGGTGGTGCGCCTCGTCCAAAATGGTACCATTGGTTTTGACCCACAGCCACATGGCGCGATAGGAGCCGGGAGGCTAACTTGAAACTGGGTTGGATTGGGCAAGAGGCTGGGGACTGGGGTAGAATAGCGGATTAGGAGACTGGAGTCGGGTGGGCAGGAGAGCGCAAGGAGAAACGCTTTTTGGTTTTCCAGGGAAAACATGGTTTCAAACATTGTGGCCCCACACTGCTGTTCAAGCATCCACCTTCTGGTGTCTCTTTGCAAGTGGCCAGGGTTGTTGCGGCAACTCAGATCCGTGGATTGGCCCCATAAAAAGTCCTAACTTGTTGCAAATGTCGCAACAGGGCTCCCGAATGCTCCCGATTAATTTCCAACCTGAAACCTTTACTGACGGAAACTCACCAAAAGTTGGCTCACCAAAAGGTGCTGTTTCTATTTTGTTTAAACTACAAATAATAGGCAACTCTGGGGAACCCTGTTAATCCCCCATGCAACTGTGATGCGTTTTCAACCACCCTGCTACCAACTCAAAACAGTCACACACCTCGTGTGGCTGTGGAGAGTGCCCGCTTCTGTTAAAGCGAAACAAAAAGGAAGGCTGAAGCCATGTTTGGGCGGGTCCAACCAAAAAGAGACACAAATGGACACCAATGACCGGCTTCGGAACACAAATGTCACAATGGCTTCGGAAGCTGTCGGGTCCACCCGTGAAAAGCTCGCGCTCATTCCAAAGGGCGCGGGGGTAGACCGCCAGCCATATCAGGAAGTTCCCGTAGACCGCAGGAGGGCTCTCCATGAACTCCCCACGGGCATAGCCTCCAGCATGGAACGAGCGGACCCTCGACTTGTTCCTTCCATTTGCGGATTCGTCCCCTGAAAAAAAAGAAAGACGTCATGTAGTGATAGATTCTCCTTAGAATCAACGAGGGAAATATGACATATTCTTCAGCGAATGGAAGTTCCTAGTGTTGGAGGGGACGAAATCCGCTTCGCACCACTGGGTAGGGGACTTGTTCCAATAATTGTGAGGTCTCATCCATCCCATGCAAGTGCAAAAATTACTCCATCCACCGTGTGGTTTTCCGATGGCTATCAACATAAGCGACCTTTTGGAAAATAGATGGCCCTGGTAGATGGAATAAAACCAATCTACACCAGTGGAACCCAATCTATTTCTATCCAAACTATAACCTAAAAGGACACCTATGACTGTAGGCGGCATCTCAAGCGGCACAAACCACGCCAGATTCATACCTTTCTTTTCCTTTCCGGATCCAGCAGTCTTTCAACGTTGCAGGTCGATCCAGAGTCTGTCTTCATCTGCCACGAAACCTCCCGTGTGTGTGTGTGTGTGTGGGTGTGTCTTGCCCATTGTCTGAAAAGGTTTGTAAAAAAGAAGCTCCGCTTAGAAATGACTTAGTATGTTGAACATGACCGAAATCCAATGGTTCTATAGTTGAAAATATGAAGTTGACATGACCTCACGGGTTCACTTCTTCAGGTTGCAAACCAAAACTTGCAGATTGTTGCTACTGTTTCATCGTAAAGGGACATTCCCCCAATCTAAAGAAAAAGAGGGGCGCACTCTCGCCTTGCACCTGGGGCACTTTGGTCATGAGCAGTACCGGAGGTTTCAACCAAAAACTCGATTTTCCAAAGGAAATGATACTCGAACAAGTTTCCCGACGGGTGCATCCTCACATCCGAAAATGATCTTCGTCTGATCACACGTCTTCCAAGCACCCAACAGAAAGCAGGGTCCGGAAGATCGATTACCTCAAGAGACATTCCGGCGAGGAACCACTTCATCGTTTCAACATCAAAACTGAATTAAGCACTCGCGACCCTATTTTGATGTTTCCTACAAGGCAATCATTTTGATTCAACAACAAATTCTACTTGGGCCCTAGTTCGGCCTAGTTCGGCCTAGTTCGGCTTTGCCTAGCCTGTGAATTGAGGCGTGAGGCAAGACTACTATATTTTTCCAAACCGGAAACATAATGGATCGGGTGAGGGAGATTCACCATGGGGTTTGTGCCTTTTTTCCAGGGTGTCAGCTGCGTCGCAATCCGAAGCTGGTCAACAGGGTGCATATCGCCAACCTTAACCTTCACTTGGGTTGCGAATCAAACAAAAGGAACAAAGAAAAACAATCTTAGAAACCAAAGGAAACGCCAAAAGGGTTGCCCCTCAATTAGGATCTACCCAAAATTGAGTCAACTTAACAATTGGTTTCAACTCGGTCCCTCCTCAAATCAATTCTTTGGGAGCTCGCAGGAAGCCTCCCGATGCGCCAAAGGCGAGGTGGACAACTCCTCTTGTCTTGTTCAAGCTTGCTTGGTTGCTGTTGACCCCTCTGCTCAAGTTTAACTTTTTGGGGGTTTAGTGGAAAACACCTTTATTTCCCAAAAGGTTAAAGTCTAAAGATCCAACCCAATAGCAGTCGAGGTGCCCAAATCCCAGGCTTCGGCTTCGGCTTTCCTTTGGCTTCCCTTTGCCAACTAGAACACAGCCACTTCAAACCCACTGGCCGGTCATCGCATGCGATGGGCTCCAGTTTCTCTTTACCCAGACCAAGGGGTACCTCAGACACACCGCCACTGAGCGTGGCATTAGCTTCTGGCCAAGTCCTGGAGGCCCAGCTGGGTCCTACCAAAAGGACACCTCATGTCAAGCCAACTTCTCCTGTGGTTTCCCTTTACCAGACCAAGGCTAAAAGGACACACCCACTTTGTTGCTTTGTACGACTCATTTCGAGGGAAAAAAAACTATAAAAAAACAAAAAAAAACCTGGCCGGTCATGGAGGGGCACGCGGATCTTTTGGTCCAGCGGCGGTCCAGCGCGCAGACCGGCAGGTCGTAGCGCAGGAAGATGCTGTTTGACGCCCCCAGCGCTCCCCCGGGGAAGCAGCGGTCCATGGCCCAGAGGGCTGAAAAAATCAACTCCCCACGGCTTGGGGGAAGTCCTGGAACCGCTGGGCGAAAAAGCTCCCAACAAAGCACGGCTTTGGTGGGGTTGACCATGTTTTTGGGTGAGGTTGAGGTCAGGTTGGGTTTTGGTGCTCTTTGTTGTATGTTGGGTTGCGACTCCCTTTTTTGGAGGGCCATGTCGGAGTTGTCGTATGCTGACATCCGGCTGTGATTCTTGTCCGAGTTTTTGTTTCAGCAACCTCTGCCTTCTGCGTGCCACAGGGACGGGACCGCGGCTTGTCCCCTTTGACATGAACATGCGCCGGCTGCGATGCTTTCCCATACGCGCGTCCGAAAAAGACATCCGTCCACGAAAAGTACTGTGAACAAATAGGCTGCCTGTGTGTAGCCATGTAATAGGTGCGGACATAACTACATCTTTCCCTACCCTCAACAAGCCACTACCCCTGGCAGAAATAAAGCATAAACACCTTGAATCATGGTCAAGTACCTGCATTTTTTTTCAGTGAACACCACAGTTTCCACATTTTGCCATTGCAGGTCCTCCTGACCCATTTCCGTTTCAATCATTTCCTCTTTCCAAAGGGTGATGCCAACGGCACACATCCCCTCTCATAGACATCCACTGGGTCATTTTCTGGCAGCTGAAGAGAAATCGATGCCAAGGGTAAGGGCACCCCCTTTGGAATAATACCATCACAGGGACACGCTTGGGTTTTGATGCAAACGCCTAGAGACAGTAGTGACCCTGGCAGATATAGAGTCACAGATGGCTGTGGCTCAAGAAACTGTACCAAAATGGAACCCTGGTAAGTGAAAACATGGACCAAAACCTGCGTAACCCCTCCTGCTTAATTTTCAGCCACACCCATATCTCTGCTTGATTGACAGGTGAAGGGAGTTTAAGGATGCCACTACACTGGCGAACAAGGCAGTTCGCCAAGTCCACAGGATCCACAGCGGAGGGCCATGGGGAAAAATATTAAAAAGGGGCTCTTTCGTTAGGCAATTCGCTGACTTTATGGTTTACCCTTCCGAGAAAAAACATGACAAGGGTAAATTATAATTCAGAGGCCAACGAAAAGGAAACCAAATATCCTCCACTCGCTCAAGCCTCCAGGGAACAATACGTGTGATAGGTTCCCTATATAACCAACAGGGAAACATAGCACATGTGGTTGTGTGATGTTCTGAGCAACCGTTTTAGGTTGGTTTCAAGGGAAACCAGAAGGATAACCAGCATTTTGGGGGTTAAACAAAGACTCAAATGGGAAGTTGCGCCAGGAGCCATGCCTAGGTCCTCCAGAGAGGCTAGAATAAGGGAACCAATCCTTTTCTAGTCTATTTTAGTAGGGGAACCCTCCCCCCCAAAAAGGGGTAAAAGGGCACCTAGTCGGGGGGCCTAGATCCTCATTGGGGTTGCAATCCTGAACAAATCCGCAGCCTGGCATCGGCGTCGCCTCCATGCCCTGTCCGAATCGATCGACGCACGGCCCGAGAGTGGTCCGGGCAGTAGGTTCTTTTTGGAAGTGGGAAGACCTATTCACCAACCGAAAGGGAATTCTGCCTAGAGCGACATCATGCAACATAGAGATGTTCACCGTTCGACACCCAGCCAAGCCCATCACCCCTCATCCCCCATACAGTAATACATGGAGGGGGACATGTTGGCTTCTCAATGTAGGTGAAGGGGGCTGAGGGAATGCTAGACAAAAAGGCCTTCGCGAAGGCCCTTCCCTTTGACTCCAGCGGCAATCCTTCCCTTTGATTCGCCATCCTCGGGAACTCACAACCCTTGTTTTCGTAGGATGATCAGGTGGCAGACAAATCATGTGTTTCAGAGGGGCAACTTAAATGGAGCCACCCAGAAGGGGTTTTGGGGCGTTCTTATGGGTTGCAATACTGATTCGCCAAAGGAAGCCATATGAAATCATGACCCTTGATGGCCATCAATGGCCGTTAGCACTGGCAGTCGCTACTCGTCGCTATTGGGTTCCCCCAAATTACCTTTACCGTCCAACTGCCTGTCTTGTTTTTGTTCTGGACATCACCCCGTAGTTTTCGGGCAATATTGTTTGCTTTGTGGTTTTAGGCTCCACATCCCATGCCAAGAGGTCTCAAGCAGCCACACCCCAGTGGATTTCCATTTGAAAAACAGAATCACCACTCATTTGTTTGTTTTCGATTGGAGTTTGCCCACCCCGAAAATAACCTTGCTCGGAATTAGGACCCCAGAAAACTAGATGGATTGCCGGATTAGTCGAAAACAAAGGGGACTCCCCTGCCCCCCCCACCCCCACAAAAAAAAATGTGCTAATGCTGGGGAAGTAGCCAGGTGGTCTCCGCAACAGCACTGGAACCCCCTTCAGACCCTCTAGAACCCTCCCTGAAGCTGCCCCCTCGCCGATCTGGGCCGATCCATCCCATAGCTTCCAGCTGCTGGGGAAAACACACACACACACACCTATTTGCGGTGATAGATTCCCCCCCCTCCACCCCCCCCCAACCCCCCCCAAAAAAAAACAAACAAACAAAGAGACAAACAAACAAGCAAAACAAACAAACAAACAAACAAACAACCAAACAAACAAATACAAACAAAACAAACAAACAAACAAAAAATACAAACAAAACAAACAAACAAACAAAAACAAATACAAACAAAACAAACAAACAAACAAAAAAAACAAAACCGAAAAAACACACACACACACACACACACACACACACACACACACACACACACACACACACACACACACACACACACAAAACACACACACACACACACAAAACACCCACCCACACCCACCCACCCACCCACCCACCCACCCACCCACGCACGCACGCACGCACGCACGCACGCACGCACACAAACAAACAAACAAACAAGCAAGCTAGCAAGCAAGCAAACACACAATACAAACAACAACCTACACAAATACACAACCCAAAAAAAACAACATGAACACAACGCCCCCAAGCGTTTCCCCACGGTGAGGCCACCACCTGACACGCAAAAAGGCGACGCTGCGGCGGGCGGCGGCCTGGCAGCCGCCCAGCGTGAGCCGGTCGCCGGTTCGGAACCCCAGGCCCCGCAGCTGGACTTCGATCCGCTGGCCGCGCGCGGCCTTCGATCCTCGCGCCGGTGGGTCGGTGGTCGCGGGGGGGGTGAGGCGCGGGGGGCTGGCGGGGCTGGGGCGGCGGCGGGGGGGCGCGCGGGGGGGCGATGCGCCCGGGGTTTAAGAAGCAACACGACTTTGGGGCTGCAGAAGATTAGGGGGCTCGAAAACAATGAGTAAGTTTTGCTCCACAAGAATGGAGACACAAATGCTTTTTGGTAGCTGATGTAGGTCTGAAAACCAAAAAAGTGGAAAGATCCGCACCCATTCAAAACATCAGCCCCCCGGAACTCCGCCTCCTGTTGCTCCGGTCGCCCCCACGGACACGAGGCTCACGCCGGTCACCGGAAGAATGCCCAGCAGTTGCCAGTCCTACAGTGCTGACACGTCCCAAAGTAGCCTTCCTACACGGGGAGGGTCCTGGGTTTCCATGGGACAAACATGTGCCCTGTTTCTGGCTGAATTTGCAGGGACCAACTCCAAAACAGGAGAAAAAAGGTGCGTGGTACTCTGGAAAACTCATATTTTCCACCAGACGATTACCCCCAACGGCTCCCTTTTCTTCAGAAGGCTCAAACAAAAAACAACTCTCACTTGAATGGATTGGCAAATGTCCAAACTTTCTGTTTGAAGTGACAAAACACTGGCTTGGAAGGAAGCTGAAGCTTGCTTACCCGTTGCAACCATCTTTCCTTTGGACCGGATTTTAGTGGAACCCCTTGCTTCCGCATCGAAATGACCCACAACGAGCGGTCCGTGCTTGAAGTCCATTGGGGGTTCAAACAAAAGGGAGGATTGTCCCTAGTTGCTAGTGGCTTCTCAAGGAAAAGCCAAAGTTTCCCATAGAGAGCTGTAGAAAGTTCTTCAAGGCTGTGAGTGAATTAGGCAGGGGGTCTGGAAAACCAACATTCATCACTTCCCCCATTAACAATGCACCCTACCAATAAAATATTGTTTTTCCCGGATGTGTTTTGCCAATCCCCTGCTGGTCTCGTTTTCGGAAAGTCAAGCAAATTGCGGGCCAAGCTCCGAGCCTAACTTCAATGACTTTCAGACCAAACCGACCAAGTCATGCCAATTCGAGACCCCCGAAGCAAGTGAGCCAACCTGAAAACATCACCCCGTTCCCAAGGGAAACTCCGAAAGGTGCTGTAAAAGTCCACGTCCTTTTCCTCGGGCGGTTAACTTTTATGCAATCCAATTTCTGGTCTTGAAGTTTAACAAGAGACCCTGCCCAAGTTGCAACGGACGGAATGCAAGGAGTGGCCGCGTGAAACCCCGACACTTCCGCATCTCTCCTGCGCCTGGCAAGTGGCAAGTGTGCTGCAGTAGCACGCAGCATACCAGCCTGATAGCAAAACAAAGCGCTCATGTTGCTAAGATGGTTCCCACCAATTACCACCAAGCAACCCTTGGGGAAAAGCAATTGCATCCCATGAAACCTTGGGGCCAGTGGAAACCATGTGAGAATAAGATTGACCTCCAAGGCTGTTGACTCCCATCCTGCTCAAGTTGGCTGTGGCTCAAAAAACCGGTACCAAAATGGAACCCGGTAAGTGGAAACATGGACCAAAACCTGCGTAACCCCTCCTGTTGAATTTTGAGCCACGCCTAGTTCGCAAACTCGTGGATAAAACAAACATGGCATTCATCTTTGCCAGATGTTCAAGGGCCTTCCCTCCAAATTTTTTTTGCAAAGGGTGTCTTTTTTTGGGGGACCCACCCAAAATGGTGGTTTTCCTGTTGGTTCCCAGAAAAACCCACCCAAAAAGCGGGTACCTTCAAAAAACGACACACCCAAAAAACGGAACTGCCACCCACTCGGCCATTCCACGTCTCCAGCCTGGCACATAGACCTGTGCCTGCCACGTGAGCTCCTCGTCTGCCACCTGCGGATGAAAGTGAGGCGGAAAAAACAACTCTCTGAGATTATGTTATGCCAGACTTATGCCGCAAGACTTATGTTGTTGATGCCGCTGGGTTTGTCCTTATCCTTATGCCTCTCTGCATGCATCTTTTTTCTGCGGGTTCTTGTATTACACCTTGGGATGACACCCTTCAAACATGACCCAGAATGGTTCAAAATAACATGGTTTTATCCGGACATGTGCCTAAATGGGGTCAATACCCAGTGGGTGTATTCCCAGGGTGTAATACAAAAACCCTTAGACTCGTGGATGAATCGAAGGAACCCGAAATGAGTTCATTGCCAACAAGTGGATTTTGATAGGGAACCACCTGAAAAGTGGTTGGTAGACATAAATCCCCACCTAAATAATGTCCAGCAAAAGGTCGGAATGATCCTATGAAGTAACACAACAAGCAGGAGCTCGGAAGCTCATCCAAGCACGTGATTAGGTTTGTAACCATGGTCATAAGGGAACCCATGCTTTAACATGGTTCAGCCTGCTAAGTGGGTGCAACATCCAAGAAACTCTTATTGAAAACAACTAGCTGGGGAAGCGTTGGAACAGACTTGCTCTAAAAACCCGAAGGGTAGAATTGTCTGAAGGGTAGTGAAACAAGTGGACCCCTTCGACCCTGATTCTCCAAGGTTTGGAGAGAACCTGAAACATCAGGAGCAAGGAGTTGAAACATAGTGACGCACGCGCATGATTCTCCTGTGATCATGATTTTAATTGGCTGTGGGTCAAAACCAATGGGATCCCATTTTGGGGTAGGTGCACCACCCATTTTAGTCTATTTTAGTGGGGATTGGGATGTTCATTGGGGGTACGGGATTTTGACCCATGGCCAATTTGGCTTTTGAAGTACCCTGGCATACCCTGGCCACTTATTGTCATACCTAGCCTGTATAGGCAACCAAGGCAACCATTCGAAAAACACGCGGAGTGCGGGTTATCTACTCGCTATGTACTTCCATTTGCGTAAGCCCCCTGGAAAACATAAGAAAAATCCAGTAGTGATCGATTCCTTTTAATAGGGAAAAACACCTTATATAAACAAATGGAAGTGTAGGTAGGATCCACTGGGGTACACCGACGCCTCAGCTGGTCGGCACTGCTCTTCGCACAGGTCGGAGTGGTTGGTCTCCAGGCTGCAGTCTGCCTCCTGGGACAGGTGGAGTTCCTCGGTTGCTCCCCTGCTAAAAGTATAACTTTTAGTGGTTTAATGGAAAACCCGTTAGTTGGCAAAAAGCTAAAGTCCTAGCATCCAAGCAAAATGCGACAAAGGTTGTATGTTACCCTACAAACATTTCGATAGCCTAACTACCAAGTTGGTTGAGCATCCAAGTGTACCTGTATGCTACCCTACAAACAGTTCGATAGCCAAGTTGGTTGAACATCCAAGTAGTACCCTATAACAAATAAATACCCTTCCAGATGAATGACTCAATTGGGGATGCCTAGTCTTTGACCCCCAGACCAACATCCCAGAGAGGGCGCTGGTTTTTCTGTTTTGGTAGGGGAACCCTCCCCCCAAAAAATAATAAAAAGGGCACTACTGGGGGACCTAGTGGTAGCGCTAGGGTCCCAACACCCGACTTGGGGTCTGGGGGGCTCAAAGGTCATAGATCTTGGGGTCGCTTTTGAAGGGCTTTCTGATGAAGATTCGTGGAAAGAAGGAGCGGGGGCAAACTTGACCCAAACCAAATTATGTTTCACTTTCTTGCTTTTAGCCCCCTGCAAACCATGAAAACAACAAAACATGTTTCCAGTAGTGATAGATTCCCTTTAACACCAACAGGATAACACATAAAACACAAACTTAAGCAAACGGACGCCTTTTAGTCTACCCTACTAAAATACTAACAGACCCCAGCCAAAGGCAACAGTCTGCGAATGCCGCTCTTTCGGTCCTCAAAGTCCCCCGCATCTGGCAGGAGCTTCAGGAAATGCCGCTCTGCTGCGTTGAAGCGACCTGAACAGAAAATAAGCTCAGGTGACATCCCCAAGATCCTCGTGGAACCCCAGTGGAACCCTGCTAAACCCTCGTGGAACCTTACCTCATGGCCGCCCCGGACCACCCCGGAGCCTATCTGGGCTGAGACCCCAAAGCGGGGAAAAAAGAACTCGAATAAAAGGTCTATTCGTTTGTAGGTCCGACGGACACAGCCATTTGCTTCCAAAAGTTTTCTCCTTTTGGGCGGTTCGCTCAGAGGCCAGCCCAAGTGCTGCAGGTGCGGAGCCAACCAAATCTTCGGACTCCGATTTGGTTGCGGTGAAGTTGCCAACCCTGTCCTTCAAAGATCTGGGCAAACCACTGGAATTCCCAAACCGGAAAATAATGAATCCCCTAGGTGAGGAGCCTTTATCATAGGTGCACTCATTTTAGGTGGGCTGATTGTAATATGCTTGGCCCGAAAGATAGCCAGCCACCTACCAAGACAAAGCCTTAGGTAGGTAGTTGACTTTACAAGGGTTTCTCCCGTTCAAAACAAACACCGGAGATGCTTCACTGGTCTGGATTAAAAACAAAAAACAAAAGCAACTGAGATCCTTGCCAGTAATTACCCAACAACTGCTTTTGTCTGTTTCCAAACTCGCAAGTACTGTCCAAAACAAGCTGTTGGGAGCTGGTAGATTCCTTGTTGGCAGAGTGAACAACTTGCTTCTCAGAGGGAATGAGAAATGGAATGACCCCGATATAAACCATGAGGGTTTTTTCCTTTAAGACAATTCCCTTCCGGTTCATTCCCAGCACACGGAAGGTCATTCCCTACTGAGCACCAGCAAGACAAAACATCACTTGGAGAAAGTCTTGGCAAGTTTCGGGTGTGCCGAGCGCCTCAGGAAACCACTGAGCACAAGATCCATCTCGCCCGCCTCCAGGAGATGCAATACGCAGCTCCTGGCATTGGCTACCAAGCCCTTGGTCTGCAAACGGGGAAGAGTTTGATAGTTGTTGGGTCAATGGAGTTGATGCAGGAGGTCTTCTGGAATGGGCAAGTTGGCTAGAGATGTACTCTTCCCAGTGGTCCACTGAAAAAGGCGAACCTTCTGTGGCAACTTTCTCTGCTGATTCTCTGAAGGATCATGTGTAGAGGAATCTGGGTATGTTGTCACTATATTAATTGTCTGGAAATTGCGGTTTTCCCGTTGGTTCCCTTGAAACCAATTGTAACAAGGGTACCCTCAAAAAACACACACACACACACACACAGACACACACACACACACAGATACAGACACAGACACAGACACCACACAAAAAAAATATCCCGCAGAGGATTCCAGGAAAAAAGCCTTTTGGTTTCCCTAAACCTCCCTCAGGAACCAAAACCCTAGGGAACCCAGGGCTATGCACTGGCACAAACACACACACACAGACACACACACACACACACACACATACATACATGCACCCCTCTTTTTGGGAAAAGGGACCCCCTGAAAATGAGTGTTCCATTTGGTACTTGCAAAGGCTCCCGATTGTTCTTTCCTCAAAATGGGCTGTTTGCAACGGGCCTTCGCATTCGCAGGTACAGCAACAAAAAAACAAAACAACATTTACAACCTTGGGTCCCTGTGAAGTGTGGAAGGACAAAATCAGCTGTGCAAAGCCTTCTGAATGCTGGGATAAACCTCAAGTGGTGCCGATCGATTCGCGTGGATTTTGTAACCAACAGACAGGACATGTGGCGGCCATAGTCATCGTTTTCTTTTTTTTTTACTTTGAGGGGATACTGGGTGCCTAATAGGGGTCGATAGGAAAGAACCATGACCCATCCGCTTTTGGCCTCCCTTTTCACATATTTACACTCAAACATATGGGCTATTTAGTCGCCAGGGCCAGAACTGGTGAAGAGTTTCCTCCAACTTTTCAAGACAAAATTTGGGTTTCGAGTACCCCAATCCGTTCTGACTGTGGCAGAGTATGCCGACCAAACCTGCGGGAAAGCCAGCGCAACTGAATCCGGGTGAAGGGTGACAAAACCCAAGAAGAAAAAACTGGCGAGTGCTTTCCTTTTTGTTTATCGATGGAGCAACCTGAAGTTTACCATTTTTTCTGGTGGATTTTGGGGAGAAACGCCCACAAGCGCAGGAAAACCCACCAAAAAAAAGACAATACCACAAGTACGACCAGTGAAGCCGTCATGTAAACCCACACAACTGGGAAACAGTGTAAGCTTGAGCATCATGGCGTGGAACCTCTGGGAAAGACGTTTGACCCTCTTTCGGGTTTCATGATAGTTTGAGGAGGAAGAGGCGGGGCGGGGAAATCTGCTTAAACAACCAGACCCTAGTCCGCTTTCAAGGCGAAAGGGAGGTTTGTACAATATGTGTTAAGCATGTCAAAAACCGACAGTGGCCATAATTAGGAAGAAAAGAGGGCCCTCTTTTGCAAAGCGGTTGATGTTAAAGGGAGACCCCTGAAAAAAAGCAAAAACAAAACACCACCTTGAGGTCTGGGGTGCTTGAATTAGGACCTTGACCTGTTGGATTCTCCTCCGTAACTGCTGCGAGAAACGTCTCAGGAAGCTGCAGCGGCTGCACGGTGAGCTGCCCGATGCCTCGATAGCGGAGGCGTACTCGAGGAAAAACACATTTCCTTTCGGCCGAAACCACCAGAGACCAATGGGTTGATAAAGATTGTGGATGGACGAAATCCAATCGCACCACCTAAGAAACCCTGGAATCATGAATCCCCTGTAAATACCAATGAACAATGGTTCCCATGGTTTCCAAGTGGTGCAGGATTTTGTCCATCCACAGTAGGTATATGGGGTCTGCCCAAAAGGTCCCATGAGGTACGAAGAATGAGTTAACCCAAAACTGAAGCATCCGACTGTCGGCTTCCCCAATACAGGCTGAGGAAGTCTGCCGCTCTAATCATGACAATGGTCTTGAAGAACCCCCAAAACCCCATTCTAATTATTTAGACCCTTCATTATAGGGGGTTCTCGCCCCACCCCCAAAAAGGGAGAGATGGCCTTCCCCCCCTCGCGCCCCGTCTCGTCCACTTAGCTTGGTTGGATTGCATGTTCAGTGAAAAGATGAAGCATGAAAGCAACATGGATTTTAAAGATGTCCCTAAACAGCTAGGTATAGAGCCACTGGCAGAATAAGCGGTTTCCCTCTAGGGACTTGTGAAAGTTCGGGCTCGTCCCTTGCTTTTTGTTGAAATTTGCGGAGTCCCCCCAAACGACTCCCAAATAAACAGGTAACCGAACCTCATATGGACTAAAGGATGCCAGGATATCAACTTGGGTCCATGAAACTGAAAGGTATTTGTGAGAACCCTCAAAATCTTCGCTTTCGAGGGCCCGGTCAAAGGCCAAGTTCGGCTTGGGCAAATGTGTTGTCCAGCCTGCGAGTGGCCGTCTTGGACTTTGCAAGTGAGTCGCGCAGAGACAAAGCGGGCGGGCCGCCCGTGTGCTTTGCTGGTTGAATAAAAGCCTGTACTTAGAATCCTGGGGCTGGCCAAGTGCTTAGTAAACCCCTAGGAACTCCACCTCCATAAACAGTTGCAACTCGCGTTACCAACCGTTGAGTTTCCCCCAGACCGCCTCAGTACTGTTCATAGTTGCCTTGTGGAGTGCACTTTCTCTTCCTCTGAAGTTAAGATGTAAGCCCGCCGAGTAAAACGGAAAGGGTGCTGCTACACCATCATGTGGGGCAAGCTGAAACAAAAACTCGCCCAGGACCAAAATGAATCCTACCACATGCGAGATGGGGGGGGCGGTGGTCTAACCACGACTATCGGTCGGTGTTCCACCTCCCTCTTCCACATCTTCCACATGCGATGGTCACTCCTCAAGTTTTTGCTACGATCATGGCTTCCTTACCAGCAATCCCTATCACTCTAAATTCCTGATTTGGACAAGTACCTGGATCGCCAGTTGCTGCTTGTTTTTCTTTTTCTTTTTCCCATGCACTTGACCCCGAAAACCAGCAACAGTGACTGAAAAAGACGATCGCAACTTGGCTATCTAGGTAACCCTCAAGAGCCTCACCCATGACACATCCCGGTTCCCACCAAGCTACGCTGCCAGGACGTAGCGGCTGAGCATCCGCTGAGCCCGTCCTAAGGGACGGGCTAAACCCCAAAAGGGTAAACCGTCACTCCTCCTCCAGGGGTACCTTCCAACCATGTTTTCCAGGGATCCTTCTTTCTGGAAAACCTCCAGAAACCCAGGGGAAATGGATCTGGCTTTTGAAAAGAACGATGGCTGAAAGGAATGGGGAATCAACCCCTAGTTTCCAGCACCAAAGAACGTGGAACCTCAAAAGGCGCCCTCCCCTCAAGGCACTCCATGAAGGGTGTACTACTTCTGGGAGTCCTATGTCGTTAATCTGGCGGAGAACCGTTTGGTGGTTGAACGGGGACAATGAAGGAAAACGGAACCTGGATGCCAAATAGATCTGGACACATGAAACCAAAATACCCGCAGCGCGAGTTTCCAAAAGTCAGGCCACGATCGGTGAGATAGCGAGGGCAACTTAAACAGCGAAGAGCCGCAATGCTGGCTTGCTCGCGGTTGATTTCACGCGCATGATCAAACTTGTGGCTTGCCATGGGGAAAGGGCACTTTTCGTCCTACATCTGCGATCCTAAACAAGCTCTCCCGGCACCCTAGCCCTTGGCCCCACAGGGCACACCAAAAAGTAACATGTTCAGATTCTGTTTTCGTATTTGAGCAATCCTAACATCCCCTTGTCAAACTTAGCCCGCCCACATACAGAAAGGGAGGTTGTAACCTAGTATTCCCTTACTGCGCACATGTTCCAATGCTGAAAACCTATCATGTGTCTGGGAAAAAAGAAGAAACAAAAACTGCTGGGGGACGGTTCCCTCTCCACACATAACCATTACAAGGCTCGCATCTGGGTGTCTGGGCTGTATCGGGATCCTGTCAAATGGCTGCGTCTCTCACCCAGAGCCCCAGTGGATAAATTGGGTGCTCGTTGTTGAGCTGTTTAGTTTCAAGGAAACCCCTCATAGAAGAAACACCAACCCCACCAGACATTCTGGGCTAAGAAAACTTTGAAGTGGACTTTGCCGACCGTGTTTCTGGACTATTTCTTCACTTCCGATCGAGTGGATTTGGCCAAAACAAGTCGCCGAACTACTCCCCGAGTGGATTGGCCAACGAAAAGTCCAAACACTTGTGGCTTACCACTAAAATGGTCCAACCCCCCCGAAAAAAATCGACTTCCAAGAACTGGTCCGGAGCCCAAACCCAAAATTCAAGTGACAACAGTAGTTGACCCGGAACTCAGGCAGTGGCCCCTTCCCCGCCTTCCCCCCCGTGGATTCCGAATCCGAGGCGCGCAGAAGCAAACTCCCACCGCCGCCGCGCTGGGCGCCAGCCGCCCTCGCTGCGGCTGCCCAAAGCGAAGCGTTGCTAAAGCGACCGACAGCGCGCAGCTCTCCAGAGGGCCTGTCTGCGGATTTCGGCGCAGGTGAGGGTACCCGTTGACCCCAGAAAAAAACATGGGTATGGGTCAAAATTAAACCACCAGGAAACCACAGGTTTTGGCCCTTGTTTCCATTTAATTACCAGTGTGCCATTTTGGGTACCTATCCTTGACCCACAGCCACATCAACCCCACCAGCTTATTGAATAGGGGGGTGCTTTTCCCTGGGTGAAATGTGGGGAATCAGACCGCTTTTAGGAGTGTACCTGTTCTTTTTGGAAGATCAAAACAAAAACCACCATTTTAGGGGTCTCTAAACAAGGACACTCAAGAAAGCACCTACCTGATGGGTGTTCGTCATGAGCTAGGCTTTTTTTTTGCAATGTGGACAGTCGGGCACCGTCGGAAGAACACCTGAGTCATAATCAAAACCCGGAATTCAAATGGTCTACCCAGAACAATGTAAAGAATTAAGCAGGCGGCCACACGTTTTCATGGTTGGGATCGTCCCTTACTAGCCTTCATCTACCCGGGTTTTGCTCGTCGGAAGAAAACCTGCATGTGGTGAGGGAAGCCCTTGCAATCTGACACGCCCCCACCTCAAGATGTGGCAGCTTTCATAAAGAATCAACGAGCTCGTCAGAAGGGGCAGTGCCCTTGAAGGACGGGGATTCAATCGCTCTTTTTGCAAAAAAAAAAAGGCCCCACCTCAAAAGATGCGGTGTCCCCACAAGTAAAATGCTGTTTCGGGGTGCACTGCTAGGTCATCAGCATCAGGATAATTGATCATGGCCATCCCCTGGAATGAATGCATTCCAGCAGCTTGGTTGACGTTGGAAGGGGAGCAAAAATTAACATTGTCGCAATTAAGCGGGGGTTTCCCACTAAACCACAATAAGCAAAAATGTAAAATGCTTCCCAACACCAACCATGACAGGGCTTGCCGCTGACAAATGGACCCACGGCAAGAGTGAGCTGCTCAATAGCAGGGAGGACTCAGCATCAAAGAGCATTGCCATGATGGGCGAAAGGACCAGCCCTGAAACACATTGTACACATGTGCCGTGTTCAAATCTAACTTCTACGGGCCATAAATTTGCATAATTGTTGTTTAAATTCCAAAGCATGATGGGCGGATGACCGTCCATTAGTAACCAAGCAAAATGGTATGTTGCCCATGCAAAAATAATACGTCAATTTGTATGGCTGTATAGACCTCCAAAGGAGGGAAACACAGTTCCGAACTCCCGGAAGCTCGCAAGGGCTCCCTCATTTTGCACATGGCTCCATTACCCCAAGCACGTGAATTTCCAGGGGCAGGAAAGAACTGTCACTCCTTTTTGGAAAGTTGAAGAAAGGAAGCATCAGCCACAACACCTGCAAGTGTATGTCCCATCCAAACAATGCACCATCAAACATGGGAACGCCATTCTGGTACGGAAAGAAGTTGCGGAGATCTGGGTGACGGCAAAATCACAACAAACAAAATCACAACAAACAAAATCACAACAAAATCCCAAAATCACAACAAAATTGCCCCGCCTGAGCTGATGCAGCTGCTGAGGGCCGTGTTTGGCGAATTGGTGCGGCACAGGTCTGCGGCGCCGCCGAAGCTGCCGTCCTTCCAGACTCCCAGGGCCCCAAGACTCCAAGAAGAAATTGCTCAGGTGATGTTCAGCTCAAATAGATGTACGAAAATAGCATCTTGGTCAATGGAACCAACGACTAAAACCTGCGTAACCCTAGCTCTTGATTTGTGAGCCACCGAATGGCTTAAACTGTTTTAAGGAGGAAACGACCTTCTTCATCACTTCAAATGGGGGTTATGGGGTTTCTGGACGCCCAACACCCCCCAATTGGACTTTGTTCCCTTGAAACAATGGGTCCATTCCCCCTCTGATGAGCGTTCTCGCCCAAAATGCCGCGGATCCCCTCACAGGGGACACCGCAAATCAAAATCAGCAAGGGCAATTAGACCTCCTGAGGATGTGGAGAGAAGCTTGCCAACCCTCATTGAACTCGCAGCAAACCCACTATAAACCATTCTTGCTTAGGCTACTAGCCGTTCAGCTAAACCCCAAATCATCCAAGCTAAGTAGAAATGCCTAGGGCTGACCGACTACATGGTTGGGTTTGCTTGCTCGGTCGTCGGTTGGCTGCACAAATATGCTTCTCTTGCTTGTTTGTTGGTGGGGTGGGGTGGAGTGGGGTGGGGTGGGGTGGGGTGGGGTGGGGTGGGGTGGGGTGGGGTGGGGTGGGGTGGGGTGGGGTGGTGGGGTGGGGTGGGGTGGGGTGGGGTGGGGTGGGGTGGGGTGGGGTGGGGTGGGGTGGGGTGGGGTGGGGTGGGGGTGGCTCCGAGCTGGGGTCTCAGGGCTGGGAAACAAGCCCGGCATGACATGCTCGGTGACGGCCAGGAGGTGGGAGTATGGCAGAAGGCAACGAGCACACTCCAACACAATCGGCAGTACCTGCTCTAGGGCGTCCCAGAGCGCACTAACAATGTTGGATTATTTCTTCATGAGCCTCTCGTAAAACATGGTCATTTCTGCAGGATCATAGACGCCAGGTGCCCAAAATGTTAAATGCCTGGAGAAGACCGTCTTCTTGTTTTGGACCCACATTCGCCCACCTCCCGCCCCTTCCGCCTGAGGGTCCACAAAGCGGAGCAGAGCGGAGCTGCAATCTGACCGTCCGAAGCGAGAGCTCTTCCAAAACCTCTTGGGCTTCAAAGGGCTTCACAAGAAATGAGATGGATCACGCACACAGCCCTAAGTCACTCACAATCGGCACTTCAAACTACCCATACGTCAGACATGGCCCTAGAACTTCACTAGTTGGAGCCCATCGCCAAGGTGGTGGACATGAATCGGGACGCCACCACTTCGGGTCCGAAACCAATCAAATCACAGCCGGAGTCGGACCATATTGATATAGCCTTGAACTATTGTCTTGTCCTGTTCCACAAGGATAGCCAGCGAAACTACACCATTTTTTTGGGGAGGGTCCCCTGAATTGAACAAAGCCATTGCTCAAAACTCTGGTAGGTCATGACCCCTAAGCCCAGGCAAAGGGGGCACATTGCCCAAAAAGGAGCCAGTCAGCCACTGAAACTGCCAATGCAGCCGGTCAAAAACGGGAAACTGGCGGACCCCGATAAGAAGCCGACCCCGAAAACAGGCAGACATCAAAAGACCCTGATTTTCGGCTAACCGGGGACTCGGGACTGGGGTTGATCATTTCGGGAAACGATTGAGATACCACTAAAGTTGGTTCTCTGAGCCCCAAGAACCTTGAGCCAAAATGTCGCAAAAAGACAAGGATTGGCGCCTGGATGTGTGGACTCCTTCAAGGAACTGGTGCCGTATTTCAAACGGATTGCCAAGCGCTTGTCTCATTTGCCCAAAGGGAAACTGGACATAAAAAAGCTGATCACCATTTGGAACCTTTACGAAACATCGGCCAACCTTGAAAACAACAACACTAAAATTGCACCAGCATTGGAAACACCAATACTACCAATACTATACTGAAAACATAGGCCCAACATAGGAAGACCAAAAGAGTGAACAGGTCGACTTCGCTTCTTCGGCAACTTAGCACCGAATCCCGGCGCCTGTAGCATTGCAGTCCACCGAGATGGAGAAGGACTGTGTGCCGAAGATCTGGCCTCCGAAGCTCGCCCACGTTCCAGGGGGGTGGTGCTACATACCCCTTGGGCAAATGAAAGATCAAAACCACCTTGCTTATATTAAATATAGATATATATATATATATGTAAAGAAGAAACTTCTTGTTGTCGGGTTCCTATGATCCAAGGGTGGTGCTACATACCCCTTTTGCATACCCCTTGGGCAAGTGAACCCAAAAGGCCTGCTGATGTTCACACCCCTCTCCCCCAACAAATTTGTATACCCCGTATAAAGTGGGGTGGACTCCAGGCAAACAAGGGGTATGTACTTCCACCCTTAGACACGTGTGAACCAAGCTCCGAAACGGGCGTGGCTCTCTTAGGCGCCCAAGCGCCAATTTTCGCGGATTTCAGTGGGGACAGAAAAGGGCAAGGCTTGGTTGGTAGGTGAGTTTGAAGGAACATCTAGGTCTTCCAGTAGAGAGGCTAGAATATGGGTACCCTGTTTTCTGTCGTCTATTTTAGTAGGGGAACCCTCCCCAAAAAAGGGTACACGGGCACTACTGGGGGACCTAGACATCCATCCAAATCAGGAAAGGGCGCCACTGGAGGTTTGGGTTCTCTTGGGAACTCACAATGGTTGCTTGAATTCCCTCAGGGGTTGATGTCTGTCACGACAAGTACCATGATTCTTTCGCTATGGCGATGCCGAATTCTCTGCTGAAAGCCAGAAAGCTCAGTGTCCTGGGAAAAAAGAAGAAAAAACATGACCTTGCCTTGATCATAGTAGGGGCACCTTCCAACCATTCTTAGGCATCCGAATCTTTCAAGAAAAGGAACTTCCAGACCAAGAAGAAAAACAGGACCTGGCTCACGCCGCATGAACTTGTTTTTGGGGGTGTGTTTTAGGATTTCTTTGTTCACCCCCCAAAGATGGCGCAACGGTTTTCCTTTTGGCTTCCCTTTACAAACTCCACCCAGCAACGGGGCGCCACTAAAAAAAAAAAGAAACGCGAGACCGCGCCATCTGTCGCCTTTTCGGCTCGGGGCGCCCTTTCGCGCGCGCCCGCGCCTGGGACGCTGAGCGGCAGAAGTTGGAGGTAGCCCAGGGGCTGCAGAAAGTCCTCGCTGCTCCCGCAGAAGCCGAGGCCGTCCGAGGCCTGAAACCTACACAGCGGAGGTTGGACTGGGCGCAACTGGAGTGACCCGTTGGGGGGGGGGGGTTTAACCAAAAGAAGGACGCACCCAAACCCATTGACTTTTGGTGAACTACCAAAAACGGTTGCAAAGGCTTATGTAGGGAATATAAATTATACCGCCATAGGACCAGGCAGTAGAACCACCTTCTAAAATTTTGCGAATGCGGGAAATTGTAGCGCTGCTCAAATGGGTTCGATGGGGTGCTACTGATCGCCAAAGGTTGTGTTGAACGGTTTCCGTGGTCTTCTTTGGGGGGGTCGAGTCATGGAGTTTCACTGGATGTTTGCCAGCACCAACCTATAATTTTAATAACAGAGTTCCCCGTTGCCTAGTGACAGTGAGCCTGGGAGAAAAATTGGATGTTGCAGCTCGACCATTCTACAAGCCACCCCCCACCAAACTTAAGCTACAAAGGTACCACTGACAAACTGGGCTTTCTGATTGAAGGTAAGCCCTCACAGTGCTCGCTTCATAGTTACCAATCAGATGTAGCTGTGGACAGGGGCGTTCCCAGGTCCCGCGAAGAGGAAAGCAGTATCCAAGTACAGGACCTAAATCGATTCGTCAGATCGTCTTTCGCTGGTTCTCCCCCCATTTTGCTCCGGTCGAGCCGCTCCAAACAAATATGGCGGATACATCCAAGGCGCTCGAAGCTGTCACAGAAGCAAACATCCAGCAGGGCATCTGTCGCCTGCACTGCGAGGGAACTCAAGCAACAATATATGGCCATGGATCAAAATCCCGGCAGTGAAAACATCCCAATCCAACCACTAAAAACTGGAAGCCTAAAATCAGTGAACATCCCAATCCAACCACTAAAATAGGTCCCAACATGGGTGGTGATTTCCCGAATCCCAACCAAAATGAAGTCAACCATTGGCCGGTTTTGACGACATGAATATCAAGTAATCAGAAGCCCGGTGGCCGTGGGCAAAAGCAAGAAGCGCCGTTTTTCCTGGTGGACTTCAATCGGGGGAACGTCCCTTCCTAAAAAACCCTCATTCCGAAAGGCCGAAAAAGAACAAAACAAATAAAAATAAAGAAGAAAACACACACACACACACACACTTAAAATAAAAAAAATGGCTGAGCCTGGGCAATTGGGAAGGTACAAGAAGACCAGGTGTTTCTCATAAATCGATCTCAGCTTTTGCCCCCACCCGAGAATGATATGTTTGATTCTGGCCCACGGTGAGCCTTAAAATGGAACATGAGTTCGAAAGAGATCACCAACATGTTCAAGGGGTCAAAACTGAACAGTGGCAAACAAGAATACTGTCCCTTCTGAATGGATCATAGACTGCTAGGATAAATTTGGTTCAACACAGGCACCCTGGCGTTTGCCAGTGCCATCTGCTTGGTCCAAAGTGGAAAATGCAAGGTCATTCTGGCATGGTCAATCCAAACTCTTCAAATTGCCGTTGTCAAGGAAAGCCGAGGACCAATCATGAGAGGGTTGTCAAACAAGCTGCCCCTTTTTGACCCCTGGCGCCTTGTGCCGCCTTGTGCCTGCTTTTTCAGGTGAGATCTAAAGTTTTTTAAAGGGCCCCTAATTTGACAACCCATACTGTGGATGGACAAAATCCTACACCACCTAAAACAACCCTGGAAGGATGATTCCCCTGTAAATACGAACAATGGTTTCCCATGATTTCAAAGTGGTGCGACGTGGATTTCGTCCATCCACGGTAGGAATGTCCGGGTTGATGCGGTTCACTTGCTGAAGGGAGACCAGACCGGTCCAGGCCGATGGATGTCCCCCCACTTCCATTCGTCAACTCATAGGGGAAATTGAGCAAATGGAATGTCAACTCAGAGGGAAAGCGAAATGCAATTCTAGGGATCAACGAGTCGCCCCCTAACCCCCTCCCCCCCTCAATTACACGTGTGGAGAAGTAGAAGCTTTTGTACAACGAGGAGTCTCCCCAATCAAGAACCTCCTTCTGAGTTCTATGCTTTGCATGTGTGTTGCCGGTAGGGTCATGCGAGGCAAACTGAGACGAATCTGGGACGTATGGGTGGTGTGGATTGACGGCACGGTTCCTGGTAAGCTGGAACCCACGCCAAAAGAGACTCTTGCTTCTAGAGAGACAGGGACACGTTGCGTGCTGCTTCTTGCCCTGCTTGCGTGTGCAAGTGCGAGAGTGGTCGCTCATCGCTTGCGGGGTTGGGTGTGTGTGCGTGTGTGTGTGTGAACTTGCGTGATCTGGGTGATGCGAGGACCCCCTCCGACCATTGTCGCAGATTTGGGACGTGGCGGTTTGTTCAAAATCCGGGGGTTTGGCCAATCCTGCACCATCAACCTTGGAGGTGAACTAAGGCGGCCCTTGTAAGAGAATGATCTGGCAGATTGCACTCCACCCCCCCGGCTTCTGGGTTCAAAGAACAACCAGACCTCATAGCCACGGTCAAAACTCCGTTGGTTGGGCCTAGCGTCATGGCTCCCTCGATGGGATTCATTGGAATGCTTCAGGATCCTTCCTACCAGGTAGATCCCGGTCAACCCCAAGGGGTCTTTTGACCATGGCACATACATGCAAAGTCCGAATCACTGGGAAATCACTGAGTCCCCGCCAATTCAACATCCAGCAGTCTCGCAAAGCGCCCCATTGCTCCTATCACATGAAGTTACCCCAGGAAAAAGGGCACCGGCGCCAATTTGAGGTTTCGGTTGATGTTTGAGGAAAACACCTTCTCATAAGGCTGTGGGTCAAAAATATGTACCCAAAATGGAATCCTGGTAAATGGAAACTTTGAGGCAACTGCGTCGTCCAAAACTCTCGGGGCCTCTTCGAGGAGGTACCAGCCGGACCCTGCGGCTGTCAGCAAAGCTGGCGATCCTGCCGAGGGCCGAGGAATTGCTTGATGGTTACGTAGCAAACAGCTACAGCCAAAAGGTGCGAATATATATCCGCCCCTTGATTTGTCGCGCGGTTTTGGCTAGGCTGCTGTGGTACCAGGTGTTGCGTGTTTTTGTTGAGGGTACCCTTTGCAGGTTGGATTGAATGCAAACCAAAAGACAACCGCCCGTTGTGGCGTGAAATTCATTCAGTCCGATTCCAGCATCCTTGGTGTCCCCCGTGTTGAAGCATGGTGAACATGCATCCCCCGTGCAAATGATGTGTGCCACGAGCTCCCCAACGAATTTTTGCACCCACTTAAAAAGATGCAGCGAAAACTACCTCAGCTAGGACCCCAGCTAAAACTGAGATGCTTGATTCCGGTCCAGAGTAGTGGACCTTACAACCGAACATGATGTCAAAGGGATCCCAGTAAACCTGGGCAACACTCAAGCAGATATGACTTCTCCGAAACCACCAAATCAACGCGGGTTTGCAGAGAGCCATCTGGCCACTAATTCAACCGAAAGTAAGGATTCCACCATGGACCTTTTTGCGCATGCAGCGGCTTGGCTGCCTCGAGTAGGATATACTTGCCGCCTAGCTGTTAGCCCGTCTGAAAAAAAAGGGACAACATGGAGATCGCTACCGCCCGAGGCCAACCGTCATTGCAGCCTAGAAGCCTTTCTTCATGGGTGAGTTTGCTTTACCCGGCGAGCTCGGTAAAAAATAATCCATGGGATTCAAACGGGTGTGTATAACTACCATTCTGTAGACCCGGTTTCATTGTCTAACATGCGTCAACCACGGCAATTGGGTGTGTCTTGTTTTGGATGAGCTAAAAGACCCCACCCCAAAGGGACCCAGGCAAAGAATCAACAGAGCCTCTGCCTCCACTCCCGACGCCCCCAAAACGCGCCACCCACCTGTGCAGCCGCCCCGCTTGAGTTGCACGGCTCCAGCATCCAGCGGCACGTGGAACCAGCAGCTGCTGTTCTCGCCCTGCGGTCTGTGAGCGAAAACAACCCGAACCTTTTGGTTTGCACACCCAGAGGGCCCCGCACACAGGTGCCCTTTTGGAAAAAGAGATGGCACTGGCAATTGATTCCAGGCTCCCCCCCCTCCTCCCAAGAAACCAACCCCGAGAAAAGAAACACAACAAAAGAAAATAAAAAAGGCCCCGCACAAAGCTTATCCGCTACACCCAAACTTTTTGAGGGCTTCGCACTGGATATGTGTATGTATATGTCTTATTACAAATGGTGCGGTGTCCTCGGTTTTTGGCATGGATCCCGGCAGTGCTTGGGCATAGTGGACTCAGCCTTCAATGTGGCTATGCAAAGTCGGCTTCCATTTGGAATCCCCCTGATAACCCAGGTACTCAGCAAGTACTGGACCAAATGTAGTTCGTCCGCTCATAACCATTTTTTATGAACATCCAAGTACTCACCAACATTTTTCCAATGCCTTGAGGGCCCTATACTGTTGGATGGGCCTAAGTTCCTGGTTTTTGATGTCACCGGGTCCCGTCCCCGCTCGGTCCGGGCAGTAGCTCCGCACCGCTGCGGAGGCGGGCGCGCCGTGGGCGAAGAGCGTGATGTTGGGCACCTGAAACCCGATTCGCCGGCCGTGGAGCCGTGGAGCCGTGGAGCCGTGGAGCCGTGGAGCCGTGGAGCCGTGGAGCCGTGGAGCTGTGGAGCCGTGGCCTATGCGATTTGGTGTCCTGTTGGCAGAAAATTGCTGGCCCCTGGATTATGAAACGATCGGGTCAATGAGTCAACCAGGAGTCGATATCGATGGTCTGTCAAAACAATCAAAAAGGCCACCTTTGGTGCCATGGCCAACCCTCAGCAACTCGAAGGGAAGAAGAAGGAACTGTGGGTGAACGAAGGGACAGGGGACGTAATACCTGGAACATTGGCCATGGAAATTGGAACTAGGACTCTTTGGTGGACATCAGTTAGGTGTGGATTTTATGTCCACCAACCACTTGTGAGGGGGTTCCCTATTGAAATTCATGCCCACTTTGTACTTGGTGTACGAGGCGATAATTGCAGAGGGATGTGGGGTACCCAACACAAAACAAAAACTATGCGTGTCGTTTTTGATGCAATTATCCTTGTTGGGATCGCGTTAAAGTGACACCAGTGTTTGCCACTCAGATTCTCCAAATGCTTTTTATATCGCCATGGAGCCCCAGGTATGCACAGCGATCCGTTTTGGACACTCTGCTGCAGGCTGTTTCAGAGGGTTCCCTTCCTCATGTTTCATCCATCCCAGCGGCTCAGCGAATAGGATCTTTGTCCAGCTCGGATCTGGTCGTGTCGGAGGCCCGATTCATTTCCCGGGGGTAGGATGAGCTAGGCCGGCGGGTTGAAGTGAGATGCAGCCCTCGAAGTAGAACAAGCCCCATTCTTAGGGGGGTGTTCCCTCCAAAAGTGGTCTGAATCCCCACTAAAAGGGGACACCCCCCTATTAATCAACCAAGGGTTTCTTCATCCGGGGTTAACATTACACCACAAACCCCACGAAACTTGTATCCGCCCACAGTTCCGGCTCTAAGCTCTAGCGCTTGGACCCTCAAACATGCCTGGAGCATCTCCACCAACCGGGCCCCCAACGTGCGAAGTGCCCTCCCAAACCTGCGGTGGAGTTGCATACGGCTCCAGCTCAGCTTTGGGGACATTACTTTTTAGGGTTTGCCTTTTCCACTGAAGTAAAGAGCCTCCCTTGACAAGGAGTTCTACCCTAGAAAGGCTGCTTATGTCTCCCACGAACAGTGGAAACGGCAAACCATGCCACTTTTTGTTTGAAAGGAGAAAGGAGAAAGGAGACAACTTGTGTTTCCTAGGTAGCCGGTTTTGCACGCACAACAAATGGGATCTTGCAGTATGTGCCTATGTCCCATTCCCTCTGTCTGTCGTGTATCTTCCTGCGTAAGGCAGGGTGTTTATCATCGACCTCCTCTGGCGTCCTTTCCTTCTTTTGGAGGGGGAACATCCCTTGGAGACTTGGAAGAACATCCTGATAATCTCCATAGGAAGTCGGTGCAAGCGCAGAAATATCCAGGACGACAGGGTGGCTCCCGAACACAGTTTGGTGTGAGGAAACCAGTTCGGGAGCACGTCCGGTCAACACTCCTGTGGGTGACATGCTTCCCTTAGCACAAACCTCGGCGTTGGAGGTCTGAAAACCTTATTTGAGAGGTTGGCGATCGCTACCCCAAGGAGTCTTTTGACCGTAAAGCGAACATCACAAACATACAAATATCACTCTTCACAGGTGCACATTTGGGCATGCTTGAACTCCGCGCCAAATTGGGGTACCCCGCAAGATGGGCGGTTTCCCTTTAAACCGACCAACTAAAGTCACCCTCCGCAAAACACACACACACACAAACCAACCTTGGTAGACTCAAGGAGAACCATGTAACAAATCCACAGGCCAAATCTCCGCACCTATTCATGTCTAAGACTGTCCGCTAACCTTCATCTACTTACGTGTCAAATGTGGTCAGCTGAGGCTCTTGTTGCCACGCCGAGGTGGAGGAGTTGTCCAAGTAGCAGAGGCTGTACGTGCCCTGGAAGGGCACGCGCACCTTTCGGCTTTCGAACGACGTGTCGAGGTTCGGGCAGACGTTCAAACGGTTCCCTCAAGGGACATGGGACAAAAATCGGGCTCGTTCCCAGGAGTGTGCTTGTGTGTGTGTGTCTTTGTGTGTGTGTGTGGGAACCTTAGTGAGTTTTCTTGTGACCCTCCCAAAATCACCCCAGACTGCTGAACATATTGACCAAACCTCATGTAAACTTGGCGGTCTTTTTTGTTGACCTCTGTTGTAGTCATTGGTGTTTCTTGAATTAGCCGCCAGGAGACATGGGAGAGAACTTTCCTATTTGTTTGGAAAGCTCTCTCCCATGTCTCCTGAAGGCTAATCCAGGAACACCAATGAATACAACAGAGGTCCACAAAAAAAGACCGCCTTGAGACCGATTTCTCCGCTTCCCACGGCGCCTTGCTTTCAAGCAAGGGGGTCATAAAAGGACAGCCCCTTCTCAAAAGTGGCACAGCTGCAAATAAAAGCAACGGGCGTTCCATAAATAAATGAATAAATAAATAACTAAATAAATAAGTACATAAATAAATAAACAAATAAATATATAAATAGATAAATCAATAAATAAATATGTTTTAAAAAAATAAAACTAAACTACAAATTGGCTTGATCCGATGCTACACACATTGTTGTCTGTCGGCGCAATCAATGGGAACCGTCTTGTCAACAACCCGTTTAGGGTCCCCTGAGCACTGGGTTCCATTGGCCGCGGGCTTCTTTCGACATCTGGCTTGCTTCTGAAAATAGGCTTCTCGTACTGCAGAATGACACCTCTTCGCTAAAACAAAAACAAGTGGAGAACAAATCACGGTTTGAGCCCCCTTTGGTGGACGTCTGTTGTGGGATGGATATACACACTAGTATGTACATGGTCGCCCTAAGTGCATTTTACCGCGACGCTTTAAGCCTTTGCTCGTGGCCCTACATCCTTAAAGCAACGGGTGACATGGGAATGTGGTCTAACAACTTGACGGCTTTTGGAACAACTGCTAGCTTAACAGTCATACATTGCAATTCATTGCACTTGGTGTGGCACTCCGGGTTGATGACACATGTTGAAAACCCTGTTGCCTCACTGGACACGAGGGACACGAGGGCAAACCTACCATTTGCGGGGCTCATTTGCTGACTCAATTACGTGCCTAGTGGCAGAAAAACAGACACACACACACACACACTTGGCGATGTTCAGTCGGTTGAGCTTCAAGGGGAACGACCAACAAAAAGCTAGGTCGGTCCCCTTTCACAACCAAACGAAAGGCTGTTGCAAGATAACACATCAATCTGGGCTATTCCAAATGGAGAGTTGACCAATCCAAATCCAGAATTCTAAGACCGATTCCTTGAAATCCTGTTGTACCCCAAAAGGATCTAGATTTGCGACCTGACACAGCGGATTCTGACCATCTAACTTCAAGAACTGCCACTTTAAGCAACAGGGCAGGCGCTTGGGTCCACTGCATTTCTCCGAACCCAGTGCCCAGCAAACCTGCTAACAATCCGAGCCCTTTTGGTTGACCACTTGTGCGGAGTACAAAAGAGATTTCGAGGGGTTGCCACAGGCTTGGGCTTCCCCGATATCTATCTTTCCAGTAAGCCAACAACCCCCCAAAAAAACGGCCAGTCTTTTGAGCAGAACAATGGTTTACCTCAGTTGTTACCATTTTTATAAGGTACTTACCTGAAGTGCAATGAAAATCCAAAGGTCATAAGATTCAAGGGTAACGATTCCCCTCCCCCCCCCTCCAAACAACAAAAACACGGTAGACTTGCAACAAGGGGGAGTTCTTCCCCCCCCCCCCCCAAAAAAAAAAAAAAAGAAAGCAACTGTTGGTCGACTTTAAAGGGAGGCCCTTCCCGAAAACCAACAAAATAACAAGTTGAAAGGATGGGCTCGACTAGTTCCATGGGAGAAATCACCCCACATGGCATTCCACAACCAGCGCCAAAGGGGCTGCGTCCATCCATGATGAGCTGATAATCCCTTCTTCCTCATAACAAAGGTCCCCCGCAAATTAGTTTTTGTGCTTAGTTGCGTTTTTGTTTCATTTGTTTTTCTTGTTTTTTCGGGGAAGACTGGAACACATATATGTTTTAATTCGGCGGGCCACGTTTCAATATTACGGGGAAGGGATGGCAAGGTTCTGGGAAAAATCCGCAGCTGCCAAGTGGAGAGGTCAAAGCCCTACGAGTTGAATTTTCTTGAGGCTTGGAACCCTTTTGGCGGGGGGGTGGGGGGGGGCTGTGTGTTTGTGTGTGTGTGTGTGTGTGTGTGTGTGTGTGTGTGTGTGTGTGTGTGTGTGTGTGTGTGTGTGTGTGTGTGTGATTTTTGACGAAGTACTACAGAACATATTTAGAAGTGAGCTGTAAACAACTACTCAATACGATCATCGCTTGTTGTTTCCTTGGATGCAAATCCAAGTTCACTTCCAAAACTATCTCAATCAGCGCTGTGGGAGAGGAACCACTTCTGTGATACAACAAAACCGGGCCTCCCAAAGACTGATCCCACAACCCTGATCAAAATATCATCAATTTCCCTGGTTTGGTTTCTTGGCATTCCGAACAATGGTTTAACGTTGACCCCACGTAGATCAACTCCGGCCTATTGATAGGGGGGTGTCCCTGGGTGAAATGTGGGGAATCAAACCACTTTTGGAGGGACCCCCAACCCCCCCTAAAAAAACAGAAAAGCAGATGGTTGCAAAATCCGTTTGCAAATAACGTTTGTTGGTATTGACAGGGGAATCTAATCCTAAACCAAGGTTTCTGAACGCTGGGCGAAATAGTTTTTGCAACCATCCACAGTCTGGGGCGCAACCTCAATTACACGAGGCACGGCCATAGGTGGCCTTTTGGAACAATATATGGGTTTCCCTGGTAAATGGAACAAACCCCATCTAAACCAGTGGAACCCATCTATGTTCAACCAAACCAATCAAAAGGGCGCCTATGCACACGGCCAAGTGCCCGACGCGAAGCGAAGCTAAAACGCGCCTCGGGCCAGGAGTTCTCGGAGGCGTTGGCGAAGTCTGCGCGCAGCACCTCGCCCGCCTCGCAGCCTTGGGGGCTCTTTTGGTGAGGAGTTGGGGTTCTGGGCGGCCAAGGAGGGGTTTTGGGAGGTTTCGGGGGGGATGGGAGGTTAGGGTGGTTGGGGGGATTTGAGGTGACGGTGGTGGATTTTGGCGGCGCGCTCGTTCGTTTCTTCTTCTTTTTTGTTTTTTTTTCTTGGAGGGACGTTGGGGGGGGTTTAGGGGGTGTGGTCGGGACGGGGGGGTGGTTTGTTGTTTTGTTTTTGGGAGGGGGGGATGGGGTGAGGATTTTGTTGAGGGGTTGTGGGGGGTTGTGGTTTTTGAGGTTTGGGAGTTTGAGTTTTTGGGGTTTTCGGGGGGTACCAACGAAGCCCCAAGCCCGCGCCATTGAAGGGTGACAAGGATCCGACCGCCCAGAAAGGTTGATCGGTGGAAATGGTTGGGGACGGGTTCAAAAGGAAACCAAAACGGAAGCCAACCATTTTGGAGGGCGGCCAGGACATCTACCAATGATCGAACCCCAAGGTGGTTTGGTTGACGTACAACCGCGGATATATCCCGCTAGCTAGTTAGGGTTAACATCCAAGTCGGCCCTCAAAAGTCTGTTCAGAGGGACCCCCTGTCTAGGCTTGATGGTTTCGTGGTTGGGAGCTCACCTTCACCTTTCCCACAAATCCAGTTGCCAGAGTAGGTAGCCAGAGCGTGGAGCACAGGAAACGAACAAGAAGAGTCCTCTTTGCTTTGACGTCTTGCTGCTTGGCTGTTCCAGATATGTTTCCTGGTTGAATGGGAAAAGCGCAGGAAACCAAACATGTTGAAGGGAAAAAATACAATTACTTCAATGTTGGGGATCGTGAAGCTGTCAACAACCAGACTCAGATAAGTCATTCGACCGACTCGGAGAACAACTCGACCATGTAACTGCCAACACTTGCCCCAACGAAAACAAAAGTTGCCAGTGACTCAACTCATTTCCCCCGGCAGCCAGCCATTCTAAGGGGGGGGGCCTGCTAAACAGGATGGATCCTCCTTGGCCTTGTGATAACAGATTGCGCTCGGCGGTCCAAGCTATCCCAAACACCCTCGAGGACCTGGCCATCTGGAGCCACACATGGAAGAATATTACTGGCCACTGGCCAGCCCACGAAAATTGGGTCTTATCCTCATGAAATCCAAATTCATCAGTTTTCCCATGGTTCAGAGCATGAGGGGCCTGGGTCCAATTAAGACCCGGCCCCGTGGTTTGCCCTAATCCGTCGATCTGGAAAACGCCGAACTGGCCCCCTCAATTGCCTATCCTGGAAAAATGGTGTGCTTTCCCAGTAGTGATAGATCCCCTTTAAAACCAACCGGGGCAAATGGAAGACATCGGTGTCTTTAAGTGTCTATTTGGAGTTGTTTACCCCTTCTGTGAGTTAGCGAACAGGAACTCTGGAAAGGGGCCTTTACCCAAAAGGCCCCCGGACGATATGACTTAGTACATGCCATGGCAACAAGCTTGGGCAGGCCCCTATCCGGGTGCTTCTTAGTACTCTGGATGCACGAAATCCACTTCGCACCCATTTGAAACCATGGTCGAAACCATCATGGTTGCTGGTATTTGCAGGGGAATCTCATCATAAACCAGGGTTTTCTGAACGGTGGCGAGAAACGGATTTCGTCCATCCACTGCATTTCATGGACCTGTAAGGGGCTGGCGCGGGGGCCTATCCTGGACAAGCCCAGGATAAGACAAGGAAAAACCAAAAATCATGCCTTGTGAAGGGGTTAATAAGGGAGTTCCCCCCCTCTCCATAGCCCCGCTTAGAGGTCCATGAGTATTCCACTCGACTCTTCAGGTCACGAGGCCCGAGTTGGCGCCCACCACGCGCAACAAGGCGGCCTCTGGGTCGCCTAGCAGATCTCGTGCGGCAAGGTAAGGGGTGCATACCCTTGGGCTCATGCCACGGATCAGCGGTTACCAGGGGACCATGACTGAGCCGCACAAAGGGGTGCAAATCAGGAACCAGGGGTCAAAGGTTCATACCAGGGGGTTCATGAACGAGCCACACCCCAAGAAAACGAAAGTTCGCCCTACACATCAGCAAAGTGGCATCCCTGGTTTTGATAACCCAAATCGATCATAGGCTATGGACTTGGATCCCATCTCCTGGAAACACACAAGTCACACGGCTCGGCGAGGCTAATCCCTCTGGGAACACACTGCTTGTGTTTGAGGCGGTGCTCTGTTTGAGCTTCCTAGGAACCATTTTATGGCAACTAGGCAGATCTGTTACAGTTACTTGGATGCTCAACCTGCTTGGCGAAATTCCCATGGTCATCAATGGGGAAACAGTGGTTTGTGCATTTCTCTGGTCATAATGGGGCAGAGGTTAGCTTGGATGACATCCGGCAATGGATACAACCTGTTTAAGTAGGTTGAGTAGGTTGAGCACTGAAGTGGATCCACCCTCAAAAATAAACAAACAAAAAAGCCACAACAAGGTCTAAAGTGAATCTTGTTATGGGACGGATGAGGGAAATCAAAGTGAGCCAACCTCAAACGTTTTCGCAAGAGACACACCCAAATGCGGGCCGTTTGGACAACAGCTGGTTTAACCATGCTTAAAACCCGCGACGCAAAACCATGCTTCCCCTTTCTGCGACACCGTGATTGGGCTTCCCATGGCCACTCACCCTGGGCAAGCTAAAGCCCTCGCAACAAAGGCCGCATCCTTTTTGCAAGCGTCGGTGTTTTAAGCTGCAACCCACCTTGGCACAACCTGGTTCATAGTTGGCTTCAAAACCGACCAGAAACATTTAATTACAGGGCTGCTCCCCGGAGAGGACGGCAGATCACTTGCCCCCACGAGTTCTACTTGGCCGTGGGTCAAAACCAATGGCACCATTTTGAAGGTGCACCACCCATTTTAAAACCTATTTTAGTGGGGAGTGGGATGTTCACTGGGGGATAACCGGGCTGTTGACCCATGGCCACTTAATAATCGGTGCACCACCCATTTTAAAACCTATTTTAGTGGGGATTGGGATGTTCACTGGGGGATAACCGGGCTGTTCACTGGGGGATAACCTAATAATCCAGCAACCAGAAGCCATCCGCCAGCCTGCAAGATCTGCCTCTGCCAAGGTCAGGCGGTAGCCCAACGCAGCAACCAGCTGGAGGTCCTCGCGAGAGACCACGCTGCTCCAATGCTCGAGGCCGCGAAAGTTGGGGCAAAGAGGTGGGAACGAACCAAGGGGCCAACACGTGCAATGAAAATTTGGGTACTTCAAAACAAGAGTTTTGATTGTAGACTGAGAGTTTTGATTCAGCCCCAGAGTGGAAATCCTACCAATTCTCGAGCCTTTGGCTTTCGATCGTCTCTTGGCTCGGAGCAACCTGTACATAGGTCGACCATCAGGGGAATTCCCCGCAGACAGTGCTGACAGGAAAAGAAAGGAATTCTAGCAAGCAAAATGTCAAAGCATCTCTGAGGATCCAAATCCAATTAGAGTCTTGAGGGCGCAGAGTGTTAGCCTTTGTAACATGGAATCATAAGGACCACTTATCTCAGCAAGCCCCATTTAAAACATGTTTGGATGTGGGTCAAATATGCGCGTGGCGAATCTGAACTTGCAACAGGTGTCAAACGGGGTCTGAGGATCGGCCTTGAACCAGCAAGCCTTGGTGTGCATCACTAGCTCACTTGCATGTTTGCGGAAGGCTAAGTTACCTGCGAAGAGGAAGTTATAATCATTTGCTTGATGTTTTTCTTTGGGGCCATAGACGCGTTTGGTTTCAGGCTGGAAACAGGCTTGGCTTTCCCACAAGCAAAGCTTCCAACCTTCCGTGGAGCTTTGTGAACCAATTTGCCCAGATCCCGGGATCTCCCAAAAATCAACGCGTAAGTAAATCCATCAGCGAACCTGCTCAGGCGGAAGGATTTGCAAACGCATGCCTACTTGGATGCTGAAACAACTCGATTAGGCTGTAGCCACCCATTTGTACCGGCTACGGCTACATGGTTGCAACCAACTTACCACGTGGGTTGAACATCCAGCAAAAAGCAACGACAGAACCAGCACCAAGTTAGGCGACACAGGGCCCCTTGCCTCGCTTGTTGCAATCCTAACGGATCTTTGGAGTCATGTCTTGGGGATCTTTTTTCGGGCACGTGGGGGTCACTGTTCCCAAACACACGTCTGCTGGGCCCCAAATCCCAAAACCTCGGTCGCCAAAGCCACGTAAGAAGTCGCCGACTTTGCCAACAGAAGAGGGACACGCGCCAAATTGGCCACGCCATTGCTCCGGTAAGGACCCTCTGGAAAGCTCCATTTGGACGGACGGGCATGCACGTGGGGGTTGTCAAAATGCACTTTGTTAAATACCCAAAAATGTCTCTAACTTTGAAACTCCCCCACCACCAAAAAAATGGAAAACACACGCACAGACAGAATCACGCTGCTTTCTGACACCCCTGCTACTTCTTGAAACACCCCCCCAATGTTGACAAACATGTTTGATGACCCCTGTAATTTCGACAATCGCCAGCATCGTTTCTTGCAACCCCCTAATTTTGAGAAACCTCCCAAGTTTGACAACCCCTTAATTCCGACAACCCCCAAGTACAAGGGGTCCCCCGAGTAGGTGAAACGTCCAAGCCATTTTGAGTTTATTCACATTTAGTCTACCCTACATCACATGTTTGGAAGAGCACCAGAAAACATCCCAAGAAGGGGTCTCAAAATTCGAGAAGCCCCAAGGTGGGTGATGTCCACGTACAAATCTAGGGCCCACATCTGGGGTACACTGAGCATCATACTTTCTGACTCCGCTCTCCAATATTCAGTCTACCCTCCACACATTTCAGGCGAGTCGTCAAAACCTGCCCCCCCCCCCAAGGCCCCCAAGGCCCCTCAAGGCCCGCCTGGCCGCTTTGGGCCAAGGGGTCGCAGCATTCGGCGCGCGCCGACTGAGGCGTCACTGAAGCAGCTGCGTCGGCGCCTCAGAGTTCGCGAGGCGGGCTGATGGAGAGTTGTTGGGACCCCGATGTTTTCCAGTGAACATTTGGATGGGTTCCCAATCAGAACATATGGGTGTGGTCAAAAATAGGGGAACCGCAACATGGGTGAGGTGAAGGGTTCTCAATATGCCATAGAATCAGATAATTATATTAATATGGTAATATGGGCGTGGGGAACAAGAACATTGGGTGACCCCAAATGGGTGATGTTCTCAAGGCTTCTCAATATGCGATACAATCAGATAAAATTAGATGGGCCGGGGGGTCAAAAACAGCCCCAAAATGGGTGAGGTGTGGTTGTGAAAAAATAGTTGGTAACCCAAGAAAAGCTTGCCCGATCGAAAACTGGAAACAAGTCGACTAAAATTTGCGGGCAAATTCCTAGAATTTTGGCCCATGCCCACATTGCCCTTCCTCCCACTTTGTCATGGCACTGGGAGGAAAAAAGTTTGCTCTTGAAGGGATCTCCTGTCAGGTGCTATGGCAACGCGCAAGGGCGGGTAATATGTTTCTTCTATGAGTAAATAGGGGACCCCCAAGTTGCGGCGTTTCTGTTGGCTTCTCTTTAAAGCAACACCAACAAGGAAAATGTTCCCCTTCGAAAAAAAGTTGCAAAAAGACAACCCCATAACAAAACCAGCCTCATATCTATGCATGCAAACAATAACACTGAGAGGGGATTTCAAACAAATCAATGTTCGAATAAATAAGCAGGTCCATGCGTTGCTAAATACGTCCATTTGCGTACGTCCCGAGGAATACAGTAAACTATTTCCAGTAGTGACATATTCCTTTTAACACCGACAGGGGAACTCAACAACATATTCGTAACCAAATGGAAAAATAGCAACTGTTAATAACAAATATGTGTGTGGCAACCGAGCCTGCTCAACCTACTTGGCAAGGCCATCACCGTGGTTGTATGTCAACCAGACCCTGCCCATGGCCTAAGTAGCTCGAACATCCAAGCAAGCAGCCGAAAGAGCCGAAAACGCTGAACTGACGGTCGAAACTTGCTCTACAGGCTCCACCACATGCTTTCAGCCATAGGTGTCCTTTTTGGGACAGACGGCCCTGGTAGATGATTGAAGCACCAGGTAAACCAGGCCCGGCCATTGTTTAAGCCAAACAACCAAAAAGGACACCTATGCTTCCGGCGGTGAAACATAAGCAATTCATGGGACCCCCCGGATTTTTTCAGCCCCTGGAAGAAATTGGGGAGGTGTCCCAAAGCGTGAATCCCTCACTCTTGCCAGCGCTTCCTATTCACCGGAGATAAGTGCTGCCTAGAAAGGTGCTGGATATACAAGGGCCTCAGGAGTCCGGCACAAGGATGCCACTCAGTTCGGGAGTTACCAAAAGCCAAGTTGCAGGTCAAACAAGCTGGGCGGTTCCCGTTCACCACCAACAAGCATTAAACTAAGTTCAGGTGGTATCCATGACCGGGCCCAGACCACTCTAGAATCGACTCTCCGGACTCCCTGAAAACGCTGCCCCGAACCACCTCGAAGGAACGAGCCTAGCTGGGCCTATCGACCCCATAGCTTTCAGCGGCCGCGATTCAACAGATTCAGGTGGAATCTGAAGTGGGTTTCCTCCTCTCTCAAATCCCTGAAGCTACCCACTGCGGTTCAGGGCTGCGGGTGTGGGCTTTTTCTTGAGTTGCTATTTGCTTAAGCCCCCCTGGAAAGAAGGATAATACGTCCAATAATGATAGATTCCCGTTAAATCCAACAGAGGAAAATAAAACGAATATTAAGCACACGAAGGTTTTTTTGAGTTCCCTGTAGCATTGGGGGGGAGGACTCATGGTTTTTGTAGAACCCCCCATTCTCCGAGCCGTGCACCGATCGTGAGCGCCCAAAGTACCTCAATTTTCAAAACCACTCGGAACAGGGACCACGAAAAAATACCGCTGGGTTTCGTGTGTGATTGGCTCACTTCCGATCGAGTTTGGATTGGCCAGCAAAAGTCCGAACTGCTTATTGTTTATCACTAAAACGGTCTGGCCAATGCCAAAAAGTTTAAAGTCCAGGAACTGAGGCAGTGAGTTGGTTTGCTTGCAATAGTTGGTTTGCATCCCGCAAGTTTCACCGCACTTGTTCAGCAGCTGGTTGGTTCCGGATCCCTTGGAGACATCCTCAGCGTCCATTGGTTAAGGCGCCCCCCAGTGGAAGAGGCACTTTGGGAGTCAACCACGTTCCCGAGCCCGAAACCCATAGAAGACCCTTAGGTAGTTCTACCTGGTTAGGGGGGAAAGGCTTCAACCTCATGAAGTCCATGACGTCCACATGAGCAACCCCTCGTTTCAGCCGTTGTCTTTGGTACTAACATGAAACCATATAGAACCACCTAAGGGTCCTCTACGGGTTTCGGGCGCTGCTCAGGTTTGGCAGTCCTCAAGTAGAAAAGTCTTGGTCAATGTGGGCTTTTAAATCGTAAGCAGAACCCATTGATAAATAGGCAACCACGCATGAAAGACATCAACCCAGCGATAGATAAGTATAACCCTTGTAACCCCTCCAATGGAGAGTCTAGTGATGCCAAGGGACACAATTGTGGCATTGCTCTTTAGACTGTCTGAACACTAGAACCAAGGATCTCAAATAATGCTGTGGATGCACGAAATTCACTTTGCACCTCTTTGAAACCGTGGTGGAAGCCATTGTTTGCGGGAATTTATACGGGGATCATGAGAAACCAGGGTTTCTGAACGGTGGTGCGAAAATTAGGCAACCATCCACAGTATGGACTTTCCCTGAGGCTCGTGGTGGGCTTCCTACTACGTCCATTCCTCGCGAAAAGAAGAGAGGGTCTTTTCTGCAACAGGAGATCCAAAAAACGTTGGTTCGGGGGGTCCTGTTTATGGTTGTGGAACAGACCTGGACCTTCCATTGTTACATAAGTCTGTGTCACGAAAAACAAACTGCTCCGGTCAACTAGTTTCGCCCAATGATCCAAAAAGCGCTTGTTCCCCAAAAAGCGCTCAGTTCATGAATACGGGCTTCTTGCAAGATACCAATTGTGACATGATTTGGATTTGCGCTCGTTTTGCGGGTATTTGCGCCCGTTTTGCTCCACGCAACAAACTGTATGAGAAGAGAGAAGCCGCCACAATAGCAAAAAATGTTCGATTCCAAATTTGCGCCCGTTCCCCCGCAAAAAAACGCCAATTATAAGCAAATTCATGCCTCGAAACACGCAAGGGACACAAATTTATGTAACGAATGAAGGTCCAGGAAAACACATGTCCGTCGTACCAAAATTGGCCGTGCCCGTGACTGCTTCGTATCACTTCAAAGGGTTCCTGTATCACAGAAAGTGGCCGTCCGAGTGGATCGCCAAAATTGTCCAAACTTTATGCTTCCAATTGGCCATCCCAAGCAGTTGGAAGGCTGAGGCGCTGTCGCTTCAAAAGGGCAAGAGAGACACTCTTTTGCAGTTTCGGCGTCCCTCAAACAAATTGGTGGTTGGTGGCTATTAATTAACCTCACCAAGGGTTCAAATCCCCAAACCACCAAACCAACTAGGGGGTTGATTCTCACGGAATTCCACCTCCAAAAGCAAACGTGGCAAAACAACATGTGCATTGTCATACTGCAACACCTGCATTCAGAATTTCAATCAAGGGTTGGGGTAGCTCCTTTAAAGTCACATGTGCATCCACTAAAGCCAGATTTGTGGGCCCACTTTGAGGCTGATTGCTAAGGAAAGCGGAAGGGAAACCGGTTCAGCGGTTCCGAGCGGAACCTAAATTTGAAACTAAGTGCCTCACCTGCCCACGAGACCTAGAAATGAAACGTTTACCGACCAAAACAGGAAAACCAAAAGGTCAAAGGTCGCAACTGATGGCAACTGAGGACCATTTTGTTGGTTCACCCACTTTGAGACAAACCCTATTGATTGACCAAACATGTCCTCTTTTTTTAATACGAGAAAACACCGGGAAACACGAGAAAACATATGATAGATTCCTTCTAAAACCAACAATGTAACAAGGGAAAATTACAAACACACACTTTTATTTCAGATAAATTTAGTGTGGTTGGCTTCCTGATTCGCCTCTTCGCTGCCACTGGCCAAATTAAAGTGCTTGACATGATGCAGACTGGCGCAGAATACGAATACTGAAAGAGTTGAACACCGGACACTTAATATCACACCCCAGTTCATGAACATGACATTTGTGTGACACAGTAGGATTCCCATCTCCATGACTGGTTCAGGACTTAAAAATAAAAATAAAAATGATTCCCTTGTTTAGAAAGTGGCAACCTACAACCAACCATGTCCCACAACCACGCCCAGCATTGTCTCTCTCAGCCCCGCGCAAAACAAAGCGTCCGCGTCTGAGAAGCCCAGAAAAAGCGGCCTGAGCCATGCTTCACCAAGGGTCTCAAACAGTTTGCTCCGAATGCTCAGCTTTGTTCTTGTATGCCCCCAGTGTGTGGTTTGCGCTGCCTTGCTGTGTTGCTTCCCTTTTCGATGTTTTTGAGGCATTGGTCTGTGCGTGTTTGGGTGTTCCTTTGCAATCAGTGTCTGCTGGTGTAGCAAGCTCAATACTGACAATCACCGCGCTGTATGATGGAAGCCCGACCGACAGGAGCAAGACCACATCAACTCTTAGCGACAACTACACAGAGTGAATGGCAACAATGTTCAAACGTGCAAATGCGTGGGACTATGGTGGCAAGTCTACATTTGCTTCCAAGACCGGCCAGCATGAAGAGTCTCCCATCTCCACCTCTCACTTCTCAGGGAGGTCAAGTAGGTGAGTCAGTTTCAGCTGGTTGCCTTATTAGGAGCCGACCCTTTCCCTGCTCTCAATTCTCCACCTTTGACTGCTCAGGGAAGTCAAGTAGGTGAGTCAGTTTCAGCTTAGGAGCCCTTACCACGGCTGTCTAAGGCCGCGCCTCCAGGCGACATTGCCTCGGCCGGTGTCAAATCTTCAAACTCCTCACTTCCCATCGAGTGGATTGGCCCAGGAAAAAAAACAACGCCGTCCACTTCTGGCTTACCACACGAATATAGAGACTAAGGAAGTGAGCCATCTGAAAAAACACGCGGCCATTCCATCTGTAATTTCCCTTGTGCCTGGGGAAAGTATCGACCCCTTCATTGGGTCCGCTAGGCTTCCCCCCCCTTTTCCATAAAATACTTAGAGGGTGGGGATGTTCAGACACGTGCCACTCGAAGACGTTTCATGTTATACAGCAAGTCGCTAGGCACAAGGTGGACATTTCCCAAACCTTTGAGGAAGATTTCAACCCTTGAGGAAGATTTAGTTAGGGTCAAAGTTCCTCATGTAGAAGGTGTTAGACTCAGTTGTTCAGTGACCCTGGAAAAAAGAGTGAACTCTCTTGGCCAGTCTGGGCGAAAACAACAGATGGTGTTTGTTTTTTGGTAGTTGACTTGGCTCGACTCCGCGAAAGAACCAATTGCCTCAAGCGTCTTTCTTTGTCCACTTGAACAAACACCCTCAAAGGTCATTTTTCATACTCTTGTCAGTACTATTAGTCGTGGATACCGGATACCTTTTTTTTTAAAGTCATGAATCCTGAGTCATGGGAGCGAATCACGAGTCAGGGGGTATACCCCAGGCAACCTAAATGCTGGATGGCCCAACAGTTCGTCCAAACTGTATTTGGGCGTCTTTTTTAAATAACTGTTTTGGGGGACCCCCAAAAAAAAGGCTGTTGAATTGTGGTTTCCCTTTAAACCACGCACCCCCCGCCCCCCCCCAAAAAAAAAAGTGTTTTGCTGTTGGTTTCCCTTTGAACCATCCAAAAATGGGTACCCTCACAAAGGACACACCCGTTTGCTTCTTTTCGGACTGATCTTTTGCAAACGGCAGCCGGGTGCCCGGGCAAGTGCCCATGGGCAGGTCGAACCATGACACAGGCACACATGTGAAAGGTTTACTCTGCTGAACATTGAAAAGCAAAAAACAGGATGCCAAAAGGAGATTCCTTTTGAGCGGCTGTTGAGGGTCTATGTTTCTTGCGGGTGAGTCCTCTACCATTGGGTATTTTGGATCACTACATTGCTTGCAGTCTGCATAGGTGTATGCACCAAGAAGCAATCAAGTAACAATCTACGCTCGTCTCGTTCTGTGCCAGCAGTACATGCATTCTGGGGTGAAAGCTCTGAAGGTGCATGTAACCATTCCGGCAAACCCTTAACAATGACTCTGCCAATGGCCTTCAAATGTTGAACTCTTGGATCCCGATTCCAAAAATGGATATGTGAAGGCAATCGAGAAGCAGTGGATGAACTGCAATAAGCCGCAGCCAACTCATGCTAGGGATTGTCTTCTGTGCTCCTTGACTCAGGTCGTCTCTGAAAGCAGGAGCGCGACAGGTGCAACTTCCGAGATGCAAACTCCCAACTTGTTGCCCCACTTCCCGACCCCAAGTTGACGAAGAAACAACCTATAAGGGCTGTGCTGCAACAACAAACTGAGCTTCTTTCGCCACACCCATGCACGACGCCTACGGCTTCCGCACAAAGAAAACAAGAACAAAACTGGGGCGGAACACTGCTCACTTGCCCAAACAAATTCGACCGCAGAACTTGGAGCTCTATTGGGAAAAGGAGCAAACAAAAAAAAGGCAAAGGCACCTGAAATCAATGGTCAGCCAATGTCTGCAGATATGTTGAACATCTGCAGACCGGCCGGAAGAATATGTCAATGTATATGAAAAGGATCCTGCATCTGGGATACGACTTCGGCTCAACCAGGATGGCAGGCTGACAAATTAACACAACTGGTTCAAGAGGGCCTATAAAACCCTGCTTGTTTCGACAGCCGTCGCCCGGACCCGCCAAAAGGTAAAAGCTGTGATCTTCACGCTCTTCATCAGAGGCCTCTTTTCTATTGCCGCTTACGTGGACCGAGCACGCCACTACCTACTGGATTTCCATGCGGAAAAGAAATTGACACGCTTTCTTCTGGGCTGATCTTTGAGGGAATCCTCCGAAAAGGAGTTAAATGGTCACCACAGGTGCTACGAACTTGCTTGCACACTCAGTGGGTACATCCAAGGTGCTTTCCCAGCTGCTCAGTGCCCCAGCTAACTGCTAACCAACTCGAAACCCGATCCCAAGTCCTAATCCGTACAGAACGCAATGCTAGTGGGTGTTCTGGGGCCACACTGATTGGTTTTGTGCCTCAGCAGGCATGAGGCAACAACAAATTTCAAAATTGCCAGAAGAATCATTGAATCCCATTTTGCTGAAACGAAACAAATCTTTGAGGGAAATGAAGACAGACAAGCCCTGAGGAACATGGTTTTGAGCATATCTGACAGAGCTCCAATTTACAAAACCAGAATACCTCGATGAACATCACATAAACCAAAACAACAACAAGAAACAGAGTCCTGAGAGGTAAATCCCATTAGTAAACCCAAGACGTAGCACATATAATTACTTTCCATGCGCTGTTTGTCTCAAAAGCAGGGGCCCTCAAGATTGGTTTCCTTGAGCCTCGCAAGCTCCTTGGGACCCACCGAAGCTTTTCTGGTTCGGGTCGAACTCCCAGACCCAAGAGCACCGGGCATGCCTTCAAAACACATTTTGTTCCTACTACTTCTTTGACGTTCAGCTATCACTGTTCTCCTCCTTGTCGTTTTAGCATTGTTTTGCTCGAATTGGCATGTCATACTGGAGAATCGCGACTTTAAGCGGTACAAGTGTAGTAAACGGAAGCACGCGTCCGCAGCTCACGCTCAAAGTCACAACTTTCAGTGCAAGTGTAGCAAACAAAGAACTTTCGCAGCCCAGCACGAAATGACAACTGTTCAATGCAAGTGTAGTACACGAAGTACACTTTCCTCAGCTCCAGCTTGAAATCAACTTTTCAGTACAAGTGTAGCACGCCACGCAAGTACACTTCCGCAGCTCCAGCTCGAAATCGCACAAGCGTATAGATATCAAGGCCCAGTCGATGCATTTCCCATTGCATTAGGCCATCCGCGGGCTTCCCATAGTGACGAATGATGAGGAACGGCTTGCCCGGGATATATGACCATGTGTGTGTCGAAAGGGGGATGCCCCGCTTTGGGTGGCCTTTCGCCTTTCCTTTGGGGTCCCTTTAACGATGCACATTTTGACATGAGCCTGTTGAATCTCGGGAGCTTCGGCTTCAAGACCAGCAGGGCACACTTGGAGAACTCGCTGAGGGAAATAGGTAGCTTGACCGGTTTGCTGGCACCCATTTGATGGGATCTGTGTTGTGGAAAACAAGGAACACCAGACAAACCCAAATCAAAACCACACTCGCCCGGCAGGTTTGAGACTTGGTGCCCCAAAGAAACGCTGCCCGAAACCTACGACAGTTGGTAAAGGATTGTTTGACCCGACTCCCCTGTGTCTTTGGTTAGGGGCACCTCCGAAAAGTGCTGGCTTACTTTCAAAGCAAACCCAAAAAGGGTAACCTCAAGACAACACACACACACAAACACATACGTATCAACCAAGCACGAGTAAAATGGACAGAAGAAAAAAAAAAAAAAAAAGAACACGGCGGAGCACCACATCTCTTTTTTTGTTGAAACCGCTGGATGTGCGATGCCTGCTTCGCACATGGTCATCAGGATGGAAGCTTATCCACCTGCCCAAAGATTCTCAGAAAATGGCTGCAGGGAATGTTTGATTTAAGTCCCAAGTGTACACCAGTGAAGGCAGATGGCACATTTCCCGCAAGAGAAGAATATACAGCCAAATGGGGAGGTCGTGCCATCTACTTTTTCCCAACTGCCACAACTCACCTCATGCGTTTCTCGAGCCGATTAAAGTGCTGGAGAAAAACCAGTTCTGATATCCGGACCCAAGAAGATTTCATGCACCGCATCAGCACTAGTGTTCAAACAACCTCTTTCGCGCTACATCCATTTGCAAAACGTGGCATATGGCATAGTTACTAGTCATTCCAATAAAAACCCTGGGCAAACCGCAAAAATCACCCAAAAGGCAGATGGACCACCCTGGCAACCGGCCCGACAAAGCCAACGCGACACGCCTTTCGCGAGTCTGAGCAACTCCGGATTGGATCTTGGATTGGCTGGTCAGCCAGAATCTGCTACAGGGACCCTGGGCTGATGACACTTGGTTTTGGGAATCATTGTTTCAGCAATACCAAAGTAAGCGATGCACACTACCCCTTTGGTTCCCTTGTCTCAGCAAAGTGACAACCTAAATCGCAAATGGCCCACAATGCAATTAAAGCCTTTGCCAAATTGGGCCGGCCCCGGCAAAACATAATTTGCTCTGCCCCATGGCCGCAACAAACACGGGTTGGTCTATTCATTGGACCTAGGCCTATGGGTTATCTTCGAAGAAAAGCGCAACCGAGGTTTCCTCCTGGGGGTTTCGCTCTGAGGTGAAGGTGCGTCATGTATTTGGTTCACCAGCCGTCTGTTCATTTTTCGCAGCGCTCAAAACTCCCTGCCCCGGCCCTTGGGTTTGGTCAGCAGGACATACATCCCAGACAAATTTGATGTCCACCAGATCGGGTCTCCTATTAAGACTTACACCCATCCAATGTTGCGAAACGACCAAACCGACATGTTGCATCCCAGACAAAAAGATCAAGTGAGCCCATTCTACACGCAAGCTCGCCCTAGGCAGGTACAACTGGTCCCCACAGGTCCGAAACGCTTGGCTGAAATAGCCCCAATTCCAACCAGGGGAGGAGGGGGGCGGGGGGTACTGCCCCCCCGTCCAACCATGGGCCTCGAGGCTTTGGGGAAATGAAACTGGATTTTTTTGCGCCTGCAAAGCCTGCAAGACTTTGAGCCATCCAAAATATAAACACACGTCTGGGGTACCTAAGAAACATGTTGAGATGATTAGACTTCCGCCCGGTTGTAGAATGAAAATTCTATTCTTTGCTTCCCTTTGAGTCACTGGACAAATGTACAATG